TCTATTGAAGGGCATCTAGGTTGCTTCCACAGTTTAGCTATTGTGAATTGTGGTGCTATAAACATTGATGTGGCTGTGTCCTTGTAGTATGCTGTTTTTAAGTCCTTTAGTATAGACCAAGGAGTGCGATAGGGGAATTATTTTGGTAAGACAAAATTTTTGCTTTTTAGACATATTACTCAGAAGAAAGACCATTTATAACTTTTTATTAAGAACAAACGAGTGATCCAAGAAAATTTTGTTTTAACATAGCCAAACTTTATTTTTGCATTAGTGTAATATTTTATACTACATTTACTTTTTTATTTTAAATACATTAAATTTTAATAAGTTTTACCATGACAAATAAAATTCCTTATCTGTATACTTTGTAGGATCTATTTATTTTTAAAATTTTATTTTTTATAATTTGTTATATATGACTGCAGAATTCAATTCAATTCATATTACACAAATAGAGCACAATTTTTCATGTCTCTGGTTTTACACAAACTAGAGTCACACCATTCGTGTCTTCATACATGTACTTAGATTAATGATGTTCGTGCTTTATATGATTTTAAAAATATCCATTTACATTTTGTCTTTCATAAATTTTGGAACCATTAGTCACTTTAGTTAAGGATACAATTGTTCTGTTTTCCTTAACAAAAATATACTTTGCTTATGTTGCACAAAGTTATTTCCTTTTGTCATTACTACTTTTAGTATTCTCATTTACTGAATGTAATTTTAGCCATTAAAAACTTCTATTTTTATAGAGAAAACCAAAAGGTAGGTAATTTTGGATAGTTATGCATCAGGATTTTCAGCACACTAGTAAAACATATAAGTATACATCGCTAAACTTTTATAGTTATATACTTATTATAGTATAATTTTCAATGTGGACAAATTAATATGTTTATTAAGAAATCCAAAATAGCCTTTCTGGAACATAGAAAATATGAAACAAAAAGACATAAACTTAAAGATTAGATTTACTAACTACTTATAAATGATCTAGGTATGTAACAAATATTTATTAAGTCTAAGGTTTTAGGTTACCATAAAGATGTTAGAAACTGTCTTAAAGCTAACATATTATAAAACATAGTTATGGTTGAAATAAAGTTTGTCAGAATAATGATTTTTACCTGGTTAAAATCAATTTTGCATTTTAAAAATTTAAACATTTAATGGATATAATACTAGCTTACCTGAATATTAACCGTGTTTAAGTCTGGGAAGTATATATACAGTTCAGTAAAAATATATTCTATCCAGGTATGGTGGCACATACCTAAAATTCCAGTGACTCAGGGGGCTGAGGCAGGAAGATTGCAGGTTTGAGGCCAGCCTCAGCAACTTAGCAAAATCTTGCCTCAAAATAAAAACTAATAAAAGACCAACATGTTGGTGCACTCCTGTAAACCCAGTGGCTTGGGAGGCTGAGGCAGGAGGATGGCAAGTTCAAGGCCAGTCTTACAACTTAGAAGTTCCTCAGCATGCTAGTAAGACTTTGTCTGAAAATGAAAAATAAAAAGGGCTGGGGATATGGTTTAGTGGTAATGATCCTTGAGTTTAATCTTTGGCACAAAAAAATACATATATACAGATACACACACATATGTGTGCACACACATATACACATACACATATATACACCCAAATATATATATATATATATATATATATATATATATATATATATATATATGCATGTGTGTATATAATATATATATATATATATAATATATATATATTTATATATAATTTCTTGAATTATATGTAATCTGATAACTCAGACAACAGCTCCTTTTATTATACTGGTCTTGGCAAAGTTCTAACTAAATTTGTAAATTTCAATTTTTAAATGCTTTGGGTTAATTTTTATATGAACACTATTTTTGTTTACATTGGAAATATTATTTCCTTAATTTATGGGAGTCACGATTATTTGATTCATATAAATGCCTATTTGTAAATAAATTAGAAAAGAAGATAAGGTATTCTTTTTAAATATATATTTTTAGTTGTAGATGGACACAATACCTTTATTCTTTATTTTTACGTAGTGCTGAGCATAGAAACCAGTGCTCCACACATTCTTGGTGAGTGGTCTACCCCTTGAGCCACAAACTCAGCCCTGAGGATAAGGGATTTTAAAATTAATTTTGTAATATCATTTGGAAGTATTCAAATATTTTAAACACACAGACACACACACATACACACACACACACACATACACACATACACACATACCTGTACAGACCTTATGACTTTAATTCTAAATTTTCAAGGATGAGTTGGCCACAAACCCAGAAATATGAAACTCAGTGGTTTACATAAGCCAGCTGGCTGTGATCCTGCGTCCCATGCTGGTGAATTTCCCCCAGGATTATATTTCTGGGAGAGGGGGCAAATTGAGGTTTCCTTTTCAATATGAGGGCTGAAGTATCCCCCCAGGTAGATTCTTGAGATTTTCTTTTGCCCTTATGTGTCATCTGTATTTCAGAGGCTGTTGAGTAAATTTGGGGTGAGGGACCAGAAGAGGCACCAAGCAGATACTGGGGTGTCTCTAAGCCCGTCCTAGTGGATGCAATACCCAAAGTGATTCCAATGATGTTTTTCAGCCTCAGTGATGTTTACCCCCTTTTGGGGGTAGCCCAGCCCCTGGAAAGGCTGGAAAGGTGTCTAAAGCTCCAGTGACTGTGTTCAGTTGAGAGGCTGGAACTAGAAGAGGAAGGTCTTGCAGGAGTGACAGGAACTGGTGTTGAAGAAAGAGAGATGAAGGGATTCAAGTAGGTGACAGAAAGGTCCAAGGTGATGGAATGGAGGGAGGGGGGATATGGGGAGAGGGTGATGAGAAGGGGAAAATATTGGATGAGTCAGTTTGGGGAGACCCCAAATTTCCCAAAGAGGCCATAGAAGCTCCAAGTGATCCTTTGGAGAATTTTGCCATTTCCAGAGATTCTGGACATTTTTGTCCATAGGGGCATAGCATAAAGTGAACGTATGCTAATTCATTGTTCCAATACAGTGTTGTGTGTTACAAAACAAGTAAAAAAAAAAAGATGTTAATACAGTAATTCTGCATCTTTGTTCTTCATCTCAAAAAATGGCATCACCATTGAGTAGGGTCTTAATCAAGGAGGTAGATGGTATATTTAATGCATGTTAAGTGTGATGACTATGGGATTTGTAAGAGGTGAGGTCAGGAGACAGATGCATAAACAAATGGGATTGGAATGTGGAGGTGTGGTTTAGGACTGAAGATAGATATTTGGGAGTCCTCTGTATGTCAGTGGCAACGAAAGCCTTAGGAATGAGTAATATTGTTTTGGGAGTACACATAAAGTGAGAATAGAACACAGAGTTTGGAACCTTAGAGGAACTCGTGTATTAAAAGTTAAGGCTGAAGAAGAGAAGCCTGTCATAGTGATGAGGGATGAATAGCTAGAGGGCAAGGTGGCTAAGCAGTGTGTCATCCTGAGGAAAAAATTAAATGAAAAGAGGACAGAAAGTGGCTAAATGTTCCAATGAACTGGACTTGTTAGAAACTTTACAGGAGTGTGTTCCAGGGATGATCCTTATGCAAAAACAGCCACCTGCACCTGCCAACAGTTTGTGATGACTAAGACAAATACAAAATTGCCAGTGTAAACTTTTACAGCAGTTTTGACATCTGCAGGACATTTAAGCGTGTCATGAGTAGAGTTATATGGTTGAGAAGGGTAGAGACCAGTTCTGTGTTGTAGTGAGTCCCATGGTGTGGGAGCTGTGGCTATGATACCACATGTAGGAGCCAGGCAGTTGAGGGATGGGAAGTTAATTCAGCACGAACAGTTTTGTGAAAGATGTAACAGTTTCTGTGGAATATTGATGGCAAGGGACAAGAGTGAATGTAGACAACTCTTTCTATGGTGTTTGGCGTGTGGAAAGGGAAGACAAGGGGGTAAGTTGGGGGAATACTGTTGTTTTAAATGAAACATTTAAGTGATTGCTCTAATTTCAACTTCCAACCCACCATCATCCATAGAACGCGGTGGACAAGGGAGAAAGGAAGTCCCCATCCCAATTGACATTTACTAGCTGTAAACACCCCCTCTAGATTTTCATCTGTAAAAACAGGATGAAGATACTATCGATTTGTAGTAATAGCTGTGACTACTTAACAGCAACTCGATGGGGGTCCACAGCTGTGACAATAAACCTGCCTAAATACGTGTGCACTTGCTTGTGCGTGTAGCCTGGGCCGTAGGGGTAACTGTTGCAAGTAAGCCTGCGCGCCTCCATTTCCCGGAGCCCCATGAAAGTACGTTCCTTGGCCAGGCGAAATGGCCGCGCGCGGGTGAGGCGAGCCTCTTTGGAGCTAGTCCAGAAGCCGTGCCTGTGCCTGCCACGAGGTGGTGTGCAAGGACCGCGGATGGGCCCGTCCTCAGGCAGGTCCCGCCCTACAAACTTCAGGTTCTCTGAGCCCTTCCCACTCCGTGAATTCAACAGACTTGAGAATGTAGTGAGCTTGTTGGGTCTGCTCCTGCTCTCGCCCCAACCGAGCCTGCCAAGATATCCTGGGGAGGAAACTCCTGCTCAAGTTGCCAGGTCTTTGTGGGTCCTAGCCATGTGCACAGGTCTTCATAAGGACTGGGGCCTGGGCAAAAGCCTGGATAGTTTACATCTTTTTAAGAGGAGCACATGAGTTAGGGTGGAGAAGGACTGCAGAAATGAAATATGACAGTGACAGGAAACAAGACAGGGATGCCAGAGTGTTTCCAGCCAGGAGAAGACTGTCAACATTTCACTGAACCAAGATGAACTTTGCCTTTTAACTGACAAGGAAGCAGGGGTGCTGAGGTCCTGTGGAGGAGGATGCCACTCACTCCCTCAAGATGGGTTTTTTTCTGGCTCCTCTGTGTTCTACTCTCAAGGACATGAGCCCCTCCATGCCCAGCAGACGTGACAGCCAGCGTGCAGAGGGTGAGCACTCCCTTCATAGTGTGTTCATTCTTCCTCAGCATCTCAGCGGCTTATGAAGAGAAGAATGTGGCCACCAAAGTCTGTGAGGTCTCGCAGGAGACGCCTGAAGTCCTGGGGGTTGGCCAAGGAGACCCAGCTGCACCCACTCCACAACCTGTAGATCTCAGCATCCCAGAGTGGCAGAACACCCCTGCTGCACCTGAGCAGCTTGTTGAACTGGAGAACTCTGCCAGCAGGTAAGGTCTAAACTCCACTGGGCTCCTGCTGGCTGCAGCCAGGGCTTTATAGGGGGCAGCAAGACAAGACAAACACACAAACTAAACAGGTCTGTTAACCCAATGCAGGTGTGAGTGGTTAGGAACCACAGTGAAGCAGACCACAAATAACCATCCCAGGGGTAGGTCTCCAAAGGTTTCAACTTGGAACAATAATAGCAAATTCATTGGACGAAGCCCAGCACAGAGAACCATGTTATCTCATATCCAGTTAGAGCCTAAAAACCTGTTCGGGGGTCAGTATTCAGGGTACTTTTGCCCTTCAAGGACTTAAAAGATCTCAGGAACATATGCCCTGCTGTGTATGGGACTCACTGCCAGAAGTAAAGGCTACAAGTTTGATGACAGCTTTCACTGCCATCATCACCAGAATAACCATACATAGGACAATAACTCACTTCCATGGTGATGACCTAGGGTTGTGCGCTAATTGCAAAACGCTAGTAATAGTAGACCAAAGAAATAGAGTCTGAATTTTCTGAGACACAGGATGGGCCAGTAAGGAGCAGGACACCAGGGATCACTCAGCACCATTGCTATGCTTTCCTGTAAGTAGCTCAAATTTCCCAAAGTGGTACTTTTCTGGCTCCTGGCCTCAGTAGAGCAGTGCCTGTTGACACCAAATCACAATATTTCCAGCTTCGAAACCTAGATAGCTTAAACAATATTTTTTTCACATTGGAAAATTAGCTCTCAGTTTTTTAACTATGTTTTTGTAAGAAATCTGCTAATTAATTGCCCACTAGCTGGGCACAATAGCACACACCTGTAATTCCAGCAGCTTAGGAGGCTGAGGAAGAAGCATTACAAGTTCAAAGCCAGCCTTACTAACTTTGCAAGGCCCTAAGCCACCTAGCAAGACCCTGTCTCTAAATGAAATATATAAAGGACACATGATATGGATCAGTGTTTAAGCACCTATTCTGTCTATTTTCATTTATAAAAATACAAGGAAATTAGAAGTTATTGGATCAGACAAGTGTGGTCTCAGAAAGGGCTTCATAGCTGTCAGATCAACATTACTAACACAGAGAGCAAGAGAGAATGTCATGATTTGATGACGTTCTTCCCATTCCTGCCAGGTAATCTTTATCTCCATCTCTGTGATAGAATTTTCTGTCCCTCACATTCATCATTCCCAGGAACCCACCATTGACTCCAGATCCATCATTATATGCAGTAGAGGTTTCTGATCCAAGGCAAGACTTACCTTATTTTCAAGATTATTCATTTCTTATGCATTGTATCTTAAGCATGTCTTATGCATTTCCTGTCCCCTTACTTGATTTTGAATTACTTCTTTCTCTGACCTGTCTCAGTTCTAGGAAGTGGTCCAACAGGAATTAGAACCCAACAGTCAGAGACCAGGGACTGCACTCTTAATTACCATGATATTCATACCACCTATCTATTCATGATAATCCCAGAAAAGAAAAAAATCCAGTAGAGTCACAGGGAGGGGTGCAAGCAAAATACATCATATCCAGGATGGTCAGACAAGGATTTTCTGTTGTGGGAATAATTCAACTAAGACCTGAAGGAGTTTACTTTTCAAAGATCTTGGGAGAAAGCAACATGGGCAGAGAAGACAGGGAAGAAGGCCTGAAAGTTGGTAGGAAGTTAGGTTAGCAGGGGCAGGAGCTGGGCTTTGTGGGATCTTGTAGGCTAGGAAGAAGAGGCTGTTGGTGGGGGGAGGTGGGATGTTTTCTAGGAGCACTGGAGGGCCCATGCTGCTAACAGTGTAGTCCTAGAGGACTCCAAATGGAGGTGTTTTTTTTTTCTTTTTCTTTTTTTTTTTGCCTTGCCCTTTCAGTTCTGCTGTCCCCTCAGCTATTCCCCAGACATGGATCACAGCATACTAGAAACTTGCTAATTGTTTAGTCAATGGAGGATCTTATTTACCCTTGTAAGCAATTCGTTTTTCTTTAGCTCTGCATTTTATTCCTCATCTATCTTTCCAGGTTCCCATCAGAACTCCTTTTTCCATCCAGTGCACTTTATCTAATCTCTGTGGTGCATTCCTGCATCACAGGGTGATGTAGGAATAGGTGCAGTGTGGTTGGGTGTATTGAGATGGGGTGTCTCACACTATCCATGGTGGGAGAGTAGGCCTTCACTTATTATCTATAAAGCCATGATAAGTTTGGTACACCTAGGAAACTACATCTGGAGCTTCAGTTGCACATGACATTTTGATAGTGTAAGACAAAAAGCTAGGTAGGTGATACGTCATGATTGTTCTAATTCCCACCCCCTGTTATACTAGTTGAGATCTCAGGCCCTGGATTCTCTGGCAAGGGGGTTGTACCCCAGATTGTGGGCCAGGTGGTTGCAGCCATATCCATAGCACAGTGTGATAGGCAGTATGTTGCAGAGAAGCTCAAATCAGGCCAGGACAGTGAGTATTGTGTACACACCGTGGCCAGAGGCTGCTACAGGATGAGCTGGAAGAAAAAAATAGGTAGTCACTGGTGGTGCCTAACAGAATGTCTTGAATTGCAGTGGGCATTTGTGCTGACTTTGGGTATGGGACTTGTGCCATGGGGGTAAACAGAGTGAGAGCCAATAGGGGCCTTTCCAAAGAAGGGCCTTGTGAGCTGCCTTGGGGGTGAGATTCCCGAACAAGGCTGGTGTTGCAGCCAAGGTGTGAAAGTTCAAAAAGCCATAAGATCTGTCAGTTTCCTGTCTCTGCTAATGGTAAAATGAGGTGCACCTAACTTTCTTACTCATCAACATCTATTCATTTGGCCTTCTGCCCCTTGATTTCATGTTCTCCTGAGAGTCCTCTGCAGGATAGGGGAAGAGAAGCTGATGCTAGAAAATGGAGTGTCTCCTCCAGTAAGGAGGTGAGCTGGGCTTAGCCTTTGGGCTGGGTTTTGTCTTCCTCTTATGCTTCCTCCTGATTGTTGCATCCCTGGCAACTGCATGAGTAAATCACATAGGTCAAAGCCCTTGGTAGTAGTTAGGAATTCAAAGTGGATATTGGAAAATTAGGGTCTTGCCACTGACTCACAGTGTGACCTGGGCCATGTCTCCACTCACTTTGCCTGCGGTTTGTCATATGCAAAATGAGAAGTTCTATTCATTAATCTCTCAGAAGCCTTCAGAAGCAAATGATGAGTCAGGCATGCTGGTGCACACCTGTAATCCCAGTCATTCGGGAGGCTGAGACAGGAGGATCACAAGTTCAAAGCCAGCTTCAGCAATTTAGCAAGGCCCTGTGCCGCAGTCTGGCTGGGCACAAAATAACCAAGCCACCACACAAGCCTTGTAGATTCAAATATTCCCGAACTCTCACCGGCACTCTTCACGCACGTTCTGGGAAAAATACACTCCCTCCACTGGGCTCTGCGTACCAATTCTCTCAGAACTTAACGGGAACTCAAGGAGAGGGCGCCTGAGGCAGCAGGATATGCCCTATTCCCAGCAGGATCCACCCTAAACCTGGAGCCACCCTAATCCAGCAGGATCTACCCTAAACCTGGAGCCACCCTAATCCAGCAGGATCCACCCTAAACCTGGAGCCACCCTAATCCCCGGGCAGGGTCACCTTTCAACCAAAAATGCCATGTGTCATTCCTACTTGGCTATGGCTCTCAGCAGCCCTGACCAGTTTTATGAGGCCCTGGCTTAAAATAAAAACCAAAAAAGGGGTGGAGATTAACTCAGTGGTAAAGTGCCCCTGGGATCAATCCCCCAAAAAACAAAAACAAAACAAAACAAAAAATGCAGATTATGAGTGATTTGCAGGTATTGTTTCAAACCCACCAGCATTCATTAAAACTTACTGAAGTGGGCCTTTGAGATTAGACCACATTTAGCTCAGGAAAATGTCATGTCTCTGTGTTGATATGCTCTCCCCTTCCTCCATCTATTTCAGGGTGAGAAGTCCTTCAAACTGCATGGTCACTGTTACTGTCACTGGTGCTTCTGAGCAACCTCATGTTTATATTCCAGCTCCCCCAGTTGAATTGGACTCCAGCTCAACCACGTAAGAAGGGATACCTAGCAACCTAGGAGATGCTTTCTGAACACAGGGGGTTCCCTATTTCTTCTTTAGAGGTAAAACACCCAGCTTTTTTTCAGTGTTGCTTCTCCTGAAATGACTCCCCCAACTCCCAGCACTCGCCACTATATAAACTTACTGGTAGCCTGGACACAGTTATAGCACACCCACACCTTCTTCTCCCTAACCCAGTAAGAAACTGAGATGGTACTTCCCAGGGATTAGTGGATATAGCCAGCAGAAAGGCTCTTTCCAGAGGACCTTGATAACATGCCTGTGCAATTGGCGTGGGGTGGTCAATGAAGGCCTGTGAATACCAGGCCTATGTCTGTTTCTCTCATGTGCCCTCTACCTTACCTGCATTTCTGGCTGCCTCTTAGCCTGCAGGAATAGATGACATTGCAGGGAGCCTATTGAGAGAGTTACATATGTGTTGAGTGGGGACCAAAGGGTTCTCTGCTGATATCAGGTCAGCAAGCTGAAATGTGCAGGATGGAAATGAGGGCCAAATTTGGGGCAATGCTGAGCCCAGCATGAAGCATAACTTGTTTCCAATGCTGCCAGAAACCTTCCCGAATAAGGTGACTTCTTTGGCATCTGAAACTCCACAAGTGAGAAGGGAAAGGTGAGATTTGACATGGAGATTTTGTACTAGCTGAGTGCTTCCAGGAAGGGCACTGGCTGAAAAGGACTGGCACTCTGCATTTAAGTCTTGGAGGATGTCCTGGATATGGGCAGAGAGGATAGAAAGCACAGCCCCAGAAAAGGGATTGAAAACCTGTTGGACTAAAGTGCAGAAGTCTGGGGAAAGGGTGGGGTCTTGAGATCTGAACAAAGAAGGTCATGTCACTGTTGCTTGTAGGGAGCCTCATTCTAGAGCTCTTGGTCCAAACACAAGGTGAGATGGGACTTTTTAGCTCCAGTCCACAATAGTGTCAGCAGCCTAGCAGGTCCATCTGCTGCTGCCTTGGGAGTCTGGTGTATTGGGCGGGGAGCCTACCAGCACCTCTATGCTAGACCTTTCCATGAGCTTCTGCAGTTCCTTCAACCCAGCCTGGCTGGACTGACCTCCATTGTGGGCCAGGCTCAGTCCTCTGGAATCTTTTGGTATACCTCTTTCTGTTCTACTCTGCTCCTTGTGCAGCAGAGGGATTCTTTTCGTGAAGGAGTACATGAATGCTAGTGAAGTGTCTTCTGGGAAGCCAGCATCTTCATCTTATGGCAGGTAAGAGCAAGCCTCAGATCCTTCCTTGTCATGGCCTTTTCCTATATTTCCTCCTCTCCTGTATTTCCCCCTTCCCCAGTATCTCATCAAGGGCTTGGGCCAGAGTAGCTTCTGTATAATCACATGTTGAATGGGTGACTAGTGCAATTATCTTCAGATGTGATTTGTACATTTTCAGGTGTTCTACCTGACTAGGTGATTTTTGAGTTTTCCTGTTACACTTAATTTATCCTGTACCTCATTTCCAGTGCCATCCCTTTCTACCTGTCTTTGTTGCTTTCTTTTGTGAAACCCCAAGTATATCCCTTTTTACAGAGCTGATGGTGCCCCTGGGGACCACCTAGTTCATTCCATTCTGTTCCAGATCACAGGGCTTCTTTCTTTGGCTTCCATGCCCTTTCATGCCAGGATGCCTCATTTGAACACACAATAACTAGCATTCCTGATATATCTATAACTTTTCACTGATATATTTTTATGTGCTTGCCCTCTGATGCCATATGGAAGGAAAAGGTAATTCTGTGTCATCTAGGTATGACCTATCTGCCCACACTGACAAGGGGTACCTTTAGGAAATAGTGTTTTTATTTTTTTTTTAAATGACGTATCATCTCACTGCAGGGGTGAGGATAGGATTGGGCCTCTGGGCTTGCAGACTGGCTTTCACCAGGGCTGTGAATTGATGAGCACAGCTCTAGCTCAGTCTGCATTGGTTGGCTCATTTTCAGCAAGATGCTCAATCTCTGAGCCTCATTTCACTCATTTATAATTCCTTAGAATTTGTAATTACTTAGTTTTTGATAGCTTTATTTAGTAATAATTTACTCCTTTTAAAGTTTATAAATCCAGTGAGCTTTGGTATACTCATAGAAACATGTAGCCATTACCATTAACCAATGTTAGAACATTTTCATCACCCCAGAAAGAAAACAGAGGCATATTAGCAGCCCCCCTCCATCCCTACCACTCACACATCTATTTTCTGTCTCTATAACCTTGTTTATAACAGGGAGGTTTTGAGATTAGGAATAATGTTCATGAAGCCTCCAGAACAGCCATGGGAAAGCTGTCTTTGCCATCTGGTATTTGCTTCTCTGAGAGTCACTTGACTGAACTATGTCCAGCTTCTGCTTTTTGTTCTACGTGTCCCGCCAGTCTGTTAAATTTAATTCTCAGACTCTGACAAGTATATTTTAAAATTGACTTTAACCATTAGTCAAAATATTGTCTTATGAACAAACCTATAGACTTTTCTTTAGTGGGCAGTGAGAAATGAGAACTTGGACTGAAAATCTAGCTAACCCTTTATTCTGAATATGACCTTAGGCACTCTGCCTAGCCTCTGAGCAGCTTTTTCCTAACTACCTCATAGGGTCACCAGTTGACTCTTAAGGGAATGGCAGCTTCATTAAGGATTATCTCAAGGCTTGTACCTATTTAGTCGTCCTTCCCTGGCAATACTTTTTAACCATCGGTTTTTATATAAATTGCAATATTATTGAAAATGAGAATACAGAATTTTAAAAAACCTATTTTACCCCTACTCCCACCTGATAACCCAAGGACAAGTATTATATTAAATGTTTCCTTCATTTTTTTCCATCCCCAGTGTCTCATTTCTGCTGTGAGTAGGCTTCTGGTGACTATCACATTGTAATGCAGACATATATATGGGGACAAAAGTTCTGTTTCTGTTGGTCAGTGGACCTGAAATTCCTCGTGGTATACACAGCCTCCAGAATTACAACCACCGCACCCATGTCATCTCCCTTGCCACAAGGGGGGTTCTCTGTGCCCCATGAAAGAACTCTTATCAAAGAGAATTATGCCTCCTTGGTACAGCCACTATAGTATCAAGTACCATTTAGGATCAGAGGTGATGGTTGTCAATGTAGTCACATCTGGCTTGTGGCCAGAGGGTTAATTGGAAAACTGTCCATTATGCATCATGATGATAGTGATCTGGCTTCCATCTTCTTTCCTCCTTTTCTCCATCATACTCTGCAGTGTCAGCAACATTGAGAAGTCATTTGACATGGAGAAGAAACTTCTATATGACAATACATCACACTCTGAGAGGTATGTCTGCTTTCATACTAGGGAGCTCCATACCATATGTGTTTGGTTTTATATGGTGATTTGCAGCTTCCAACCTATTTACAGGATTGTCACAATAGTGCAGGACACTGGAGGGTGGTACCTCCCTTATCAGGATGCCACACTAGGGACAACTAAAGCCTTTGAACCCAAGTAAGAGCAAAGGGTAGACAAAAAAGGTTACTGGAAAAGGAAGTGGTGTCTGAGAGCACAAGGTGCTCATGTCAGCAGTAGTGATTCCTCAGAGTAGAACCTAATTAACTAGTACCTCTAACCAGAAGTCAAAAGAAAAAAAATAACTACAAAAGAAAGATGAGGGGGATTTTTAAAAAATGGGCTGCTATTATTAACAAGGCAGAAAACAGACAGAACTAAAAATGCAAAGTGGTGTGGAATCATTGAATTGAATGAAGGGCACTTCATCCAGCAGTTTCAAAAGTCATCATTAGATGTCAGCAGAGTCACAAGATAATGTTAATGACAAGTTCTATTTTAAAATTATTGGAATAGAGTGTTAAAGAGTCTTTGAGATTGAATCTGTTCAGGTTACAGTGAAGGAAATTGGTCTGGTAGGATATGTAACATACCCTTAATTCACACAGGGAGTTAGGGACAGAGCCAGGACTAAAGCCCTGGCTAGAGATGTTTGTACTCTGACACATCCCTTCTCATTTATTAAGCATTTGTTATTTATTATTCTCATTTATTATCTGAATCCCAGATAACCACATAAATCACATCACCAGATAAAGTCTTATCAGAGAAGGCCAGTGTCCTAGTCCATTATATGTTACTATAACAAAATACCAGAGGTTATTGTTATTTTATAAATAAAAGAGGTTCACTTAGCTTACAGTTTAGGAGGTTCAGGGGTATGGCACTAACATCTGTTTGGCTGTGGTAAGGGTTCTCATGGGAGGTGAGACATCATAAAGGCAGGAACATGTGTAAGAGTGGCAAGTGGCATGCTCAGAAAAGGGATCCAGGGGAAGTGCCACGTTTCCTTATAATAACCCATTCTCATGGGAACTAATCTGATCCTGCAAGAACTACATTAATCTCTTTTGAGGGTAGTATCCTGCCACAATCCTCCCACTATTCCCCAAATCCTGAAATGTACCATCAATGCCACATTGCCACACTGAGGACTAAGCTTCCATCATATGAACTCTTGAGGAACACACTCAAATCATAAGTAGACCACATGAAGCAGGTTGGTTAGAAACCTGAGAATTAGCCAGTTCCACAGGAACAAATGAAATGAGGCATCCACTTTAGCAGTATGGCAGACCAGATACCCTGGGGGTCCCCCTTTCCACTACACGTCTCCTAAATCTAGAGTCAAACATTACTGTTTAATTGCTGGGCTTAGAGGGAGAAAGGGAATTCTCCAAGGAGATCACCCTAGTCATTTGTACACTTCATACATGCACACATGCACAGATTAAAAAAAACAAGCTGAAAGTGGTGATAATATACAAAGGAACAGGATGCAATGAGGGCAAGAGTCTATAGAAATGCTTCCATCCAGAGAGTAGACTCTGAGCCAGCTTATGGTAATACTAGGCCTTGGAAAGGAACTAAAATGGCCCCAGATTGCTAGCACTACCCCAGCCACTGTCAGAAGCAGGCCTAAATCTCTGGAAGTAGGTACTCCTAATTTCAGCATATAGGAGGAGAGCAAACAGGCACCTCATAGGTCCTGTCTAAGGAGAAGAGGCAGAGGTGACTCTTGGGAACAAAGCAAAGATCCTGGAATGTGGGAGATAATTGACCCAGAAGTCAGTACCTAGAACTTTAGCATAAGCTCCAAGTAGTCACTACAGGCAAGGTAAGTGTGGGTCTAAGAGTATTGGGGCTGGGGACCAAGGCTCAGTGGTCCCAGGCATAAAGAGAAGGGACATCAGGACTCGTTTGGGGGAGTAGTGCAAGAGCCTACAACAACCGAGAACTGGTCTAGCCTATATCTCTGCTCCCAGAAAAAGATGTCAGGCTGGGAATCCTGACAGCAAACTGAGGCCTAGCTGTATCACATCAAAAGTCTGTATGCCAGTGTGGAAACTGGGTTTTTGTTTTTCTTCTCACAGAACAACTGGAGGTATCTGTACTTACTGCAGCCGAGAGATCCAAGACTGTCCAAAGATCACCCTAGAACATCTTGGCATCTGCTGCCATGAATATTGCTTTAAGGTAAGAAAAACAGGTGGTACTGCTGAGAACATCCTACAGAGCACTGGAGTCTCATGGGTTCAGAGAATGTGAAGAAGTCTTGATTCCTGTGTACATTTGTGCACAATCTCAGAGACTTTGCAGGGCTGGGGAGAAAAGCCTGACTGTAGTGGGCTCAAGAGATAATGGAACATGTGGAAATGAAGAGATCTAGAGGACTTGCTTGAGAGAGCAGTCAGGCAGTGGAGGAAGACCATAGCATGTGTTGATGCTGATAGGCATGATCCAGTGTAAAGCAAACACTGATGGTGCAGGAGTAGGACATCCTCATGTAGGAGAGAAGGATGGGTACCTGTTTGACATAGCATGGTTAGCAAAGGCTGACTGTGTGGGTCATGTGCAGAGACGTTCCCTGATTGAGTGGTGGAAGAACAAATTTTATTTAGCAGTTGTTTCCTATTTTCTCAGTTGATGCAAAGCATGTTCATATCTCTGAGTGAGAGAAGGTGAGTAGTGCTGGAGGTTAAGGAAAGAAGAGAAGGGAAGAAATATCACCTCAGAGAGTGGGAAGGTAGATGGACCAGAGAGAAATGGAGGCCAGGCGGTGCCCACTTGCAGTGAATGCCATGAACTCCTACCTGGAACAGTCAGCAGGGTATGTGGGTTCCCCAGCAAGGGGCTTGCATGGACAGGGTAGAGATTTCACCATGTGAGGCTGATGAATCAAGAATGAGACTGAGTGCTGAGCAGGGATTTTAAAGTGGCCTAGTTGGGTTCACATAGGTGTGTGGAAGTTGGAGCTGTGGCAGAACAGTGGGGCCTGAGATGGTTGGGGATGCCTGGAGGGCAAGCCGAATGCTTGAGTCACCACATGGGCAATGAACACAGGGTTAGAGAGGTCACAGAGCTATTTAGAACCCAAGGATCCCAATCTCAGATTGTGATATCAGAGCCAGTGGCATCCCAGCTGCATTCTTCTGCCCCCCCTCCCCAAAACCACCACATTGCTCAGGGTCATTCATATAAATTGTTTCTTCAGTGAATTTTTGTGCAATTTGATTAAATTGGGAAGAAGCAGCTAGAATTGCTTCTCTGCTGGTTCTGTAGGAGTGGTTATACTTTATAGAAACAAAAGGCAGATCATATACATATATAGATTTAGCACGGCCCTGCTAGCGAGAGAACACATCACTCTCAACTTCCTTGGTGCCACCAGGCTAGGGAGTAGATTTTCAGTTTTCATTGTCAGCATGAGGAAATTTGGGATGCAGAAAAGCACTTGTCAAAAGTTGTTTTAATTTTAAAGGGGCACTATTTCAAAAAGATAGGACACTCATGGCCTGCAGCATCATAGCAGTTCTTCAGGATCCCCCATTTTCCACAGCATGAAGCATTTATAATAAGTTTTCTGTGTATCCAGAGGTGATCAACTAAATAGATAGGTACTATCAGTTAAGTTCAGGTTCAAGTCCTTGTTCACAAAAACTAAAATTATAGAAACATAATATATGCAGTAGAGGGCTAATTGATTTACAGTGAGAATTAAAATTACCAGAAGGATTTTCAAATTAATTGAAAAGTAGAAGTAGCTAGATTATCATCAGAAGGGTGCTTGACAAGAATGAACAAAGGGAGTTGGAGTAGCCGCGAAATTGTTCTTTGCCCTTCCCAGCACCTTCTGAAAGGTTGAAACCAGAAAGCTCAATCTGGGGACCTGGAAAGGGCTGGAGACCAAGACATGTGTGGATTCTTTGGCTCTTCTTATTTGAGACTGTCTACAGGCCACACTGCCTCAACAACCAGTGCCAGGAAGGTTCACCACTGGCATGCCTGGGGAGGCAGGTTTGTGAGTCACGAAGTTGGAGGGGCTGGACTGCTAAAAGATTCTTTCATTTTGTAGGACTCTCATATCACCTTCCTCTGGACCTTCAATTTCACCCTTAATGTTTCCAGCCTCTCTTACAAAAGCAGTGACTGTTGGCACTTACTGAATACTTTGCTTATTCCTGACCCCAGGCTGTGTGCTCTATGTAGCCTATGCCTCTGAATGTTCTTCATGAGCTTGAAGAGTATATCTTGCTCATTTATAGATGAGGAAATGGAATAATGGAAGCTGGGAGAATTTCAGTAACTTGCCCAAGTTCACCCAGCTAATAATTTGTACAGTCAAGGTTTTAAATGCAGACTGAATTCTGAAACCTGGGCTCCTAACCACTTTGTCATCATCCTGCCAGCCAGTTTTTGTGTGTTTTTTTATTTGAGTCTGAGTTTTGCTTCTGTTTTTTGCCATTTTTTTTTTTGGTTGTCTGCTTGGAAGTTGAGGATGCAGCATTGGCTCACAGCATCTGCCTCCTGCCTTGCTCAGGCACCCCCTCCCCTTCCACTCATTCATGTTGCTTCACTTTGTGTGTTGATCTCCACCTTGCTTTCTCTTTCAGTGTGGAATTTGCAGTAAACCAATGGGTGATCTCCTGGATCAGATCTTCATTCACCGAGACACCATCCACTGTGGGAAATGCTATGAGAAGCTCTTCTAGGTGGGTGTTGGCATTTCAAGGGACGAGCAGCCAAGAGATTCACTGGGGGAAGAAATCTTCCCTGATCTCTCCCTGGGTCTTATCCCAGGACCCTGCTATCCCTCCAGCCTTTTTGTTCATGAGGCCGAGTCTTTGTGTTCCTATGTCTTATGATACTTTGAAGTCTTAATTGACATGAACAAAGTCCCTCCCTGAGGACTCTTCCAAGTTGTCAGAGTCACAGTCTCTTCCTCTCTAGAAGCACCTTACATAAAACACCCCAGCTGAGCCCTCTAGCTGTCCTGGAATGCTACTGGGACTCTATTAGCATCAATTTGTAGCCAGGAAATAAAAACTTTGAAAGGGAAGGGGTATAGAGGAAACACCTAGTTGGCTTATGGTAGTATCAGGACCTAACCCCAGGTCTTCAGATTCTGGGCCTGAGCTCTGCCAGTTGCTTTGGACCCCTTCTACCATTGATTAGCTTCAGATCAGGACTCAGTAGCCAAGGTAGTCAGTAAAACAAGCTTCTAAGTTAACAGACAGTGGAATTGCCCCCAGTGTCTGAGCATGGAACATAATATTTCCCTTGAAGGCAATCAGAATGGATGCAAACCAGACTCTCCCCTAGCTACATGCAGGTTATCTTCTCAACAGGTGACATATTTTAATTGGACTCTAGTTCCTGATCACTAGAACAGTGACACACATTAAGGGCCTCTGACTGATTGTTGGATTGAACATATATTTCCAGTTTTATGGCTACTCATATTTTCTTTTAGCTTCCCCGAGATGCTCAGAAGCTGATGACTCCCGGACAAGTTTGGCTGTCCCCAGTTCTTGGATCCTCTCCCTTCACTTCCTCCCTCTGATTTCCTCATACTTCTTCCCTTCTTAGGTTGAACATGCTTACATCCAGTATTGTATCTTACTGATGCTATGATAATTACTTGTGTGTGTAGCTTTTTATAGTTTAGGAGGCACTTTACATACATAATCTCATTTCAGGCTCCATCAAAGACTTGAACACGAATTCCATCTTAGCATTCCTAAGACAGACTGGCTTTCTGATGAGTATAGGTAGCCTAGTGTGTTAGGCATGGGAAGAAGCATGGAGTTCAGTTTGTACTGACTCCCTTGAGGCTTCTGAGGGGCCAAGTTAAAGACTGTTGACGATCCCTTGTGGGTAAATTGCAGGCATTGAATGCTAGGGGTTGGCATAGGCTAATGTTTATCTTGTCTATTTGCCATATATATATATGTTTTAAAGTTTCCATACATTCTTTTAAGTAGTTAGTTGTTTTTGATTGACTTATATAGGAGATTTTAATTCCCTCTTCCCATCCACCTTTTGCTATATTGGACTTTTTCCCTAAAGGTGTGTGGGTGCATATTGGTAAGTTTATGCTGTTAGGATCAAATTCAATAGGATATGATTTTAGGAGGCTACTAACCAAAGGGATATCTGTGTATGTTTGAATTTTGATAACTGATTAGTGTATTTGCCCTTAATTCCTGCTCCCTGGGCCTTACACAGAAATCCTCTCAATTGGCTTTCAAGGTACATAGATCAAAGTAAGATTAAGAGGAGAGAAAAGTAGCTAACATCTTTGAAGCCTCCCTACATACCATGCATCTTTACAAAGCGATGGCATTAATTGCTGTAATAATCTTGAGAAGAGAATATTCTTGTCTCCATTTTACAAATGAGGATAGTGAGACTCAGATAGGTGGTCATTGCCTTCTGAAGAACGCTATGCAGCACTACTACTGTCCCTCTCCAGAGCCCATGCTCTCTCCAGGAGTAGTAACAATAGTGAACATTGATTTAGTGCTTAGAATGTGCTCACCACTGTGAAGAAGATATCTGAATCCTGCCATGTAACACTACCCCTTTGGCCTCCACCAAGGCATACTCTTACAAAGGGGCAGGATGTGAAATCTCAGTCCTGTGGGCATCCTGGACCCCCATTGAAGCACCATAAGGGCCAAATTGCCCTTCTTCCCTCTCCCCCAAAGCAGGGTGCTTTTAACCAGGGGTAAATTTGACTCACAGAGTTCCCATAAAGAACCTCATCAACCCAGGGAAAGCTCCAATCAGCCAGCTACTCTGAGTACACACTCTTTAATGCCTTCCTGTTTTCCAGTCCAGACTCAAGCCAGCAGCAACTACTGGGGCCCAGGTTCTCAGATCATGGGAACTCATTGTCTGGGAAAATAGAGAAAGATACAGGCCTGTCCATGCAGTTAGCTGACAATCTTAGGTTAGCCTAGGTTACTTGTCACCTGCAAACTTTGGGCCCAGCACTAATTTGTAAACTCCTCAAGAGGTAAAACCACCTTAGAATTTTTGGATAAAAAATGAAGGCCTCTTGATTGAATTATAAAATGAGCCTCCATCTTTCTTTAGTTTGTGAGCCCTGTACATGTTGGCTTGTAGATTTGTTATTTCTGTCAGATGATCAGAGATGAACATTCCATTTATTTGATAGATGTGAGTTGGATTTACTCTGAAGGAGAAGAATAGTTCCATATGCCATGTACCAAAACTAAATATTAACAAGTCTTCTTGAAGTCTAGCTCCAACATGGGACTTAGTACATGGTGAGCACTAACACCATGATTGAAAAAGAAGTCACTCCTTTGGTGAGAGGTGCCATTACAGAGTCTCAGTACAGGCCTCCCAGACATAATACAAGGTAAAGAAGCCCAGGATAGGCTGGTTTCCCCACCCTCAAGATATACTCTTCCTTTAAGGTAGTTTTAGAACCAACCTGCAAGATATTGAAAGACAGCTTGTAATGTCAGTATTGACCTTGATCCAAAGCAGCCTCTTTCAGAAATGTTTTAAAAGACACAGAATTCTACAGACTTAAGGAAGAGAAATGGTTGTATTACATTGTTGCTTTTATAAAATTTCTTAGTATTTCTAGTTGTGCATGCTTAATCCACAATAGTGTACACAATTATAATAAATGTTAAAATGTACATGTCAGTGTTAAGATTTCCTTTTTTTGAGTTTAGTAACTTGGTGTACCTGGCTGTGTGATTTACCTGAAGACTTCCTCTACAAAAGCAACTAAGTAAGTATTTACAGCAAGATCCAGAAACTATGTAGGCAGAGGAAATATAGAGTTCTACGTTCAGCAAACCTTTTTAAATTTTTCTTTTATAATTGCAGATGGACAGCATGCCTTTATTTATTTATTTATTTATCTATTTATTTATATATGATGGTAAAGATCAAACCCAGTGCCTAACACATGCTAGGCAGATACTTTGCCACTGAGCTACAGCCCCAGCCCATCAGCAAATCTTAATATAGAAGATCATATTCTTTTGGATACATCCTTCCCTTTATATCCTTCACAGACAGGTGATCCCCCCTTTTATTTTTACACATTTTCAATGACCAAGAACTCCTTCCTCTCCAAGCCCATACTGTCTATGGACAGCCTCAGTTTTAGAAAATGCACTTCAATTGAGTTAAATTGTATTTCCCTTTAATTGGTCACCCAGTGGTGGTCTATAATTCCTTTCCTAAATGCCAGCCCCTAAAATAGATGAAGATACTTATCAGGGTCTGTCAGTCAACTCCTTCCATTTAAACACTCCTGGTTCCTTCAACTCTTCTTGACATTGATTCTGAATATACATTTCTCAAAGGCACTCTTCAAAGCTGCCCCTCAACACACACTGGATCTCATTACTCCAGCTGTGTACCAAAAGGCAAGACTGCTTCATCTTGCTCCTTAAGGCCAATGTTCTAAACTGTAAGGATCCTATTGAATTGTCATTCTGCCTATGAAACCAGCCATGCTTCCAAGTTTCACATCATTAGAAAATGCAGTTTACATATCATCTAAGTCTTGATCCAACTCAGGGACAGGAAGTCCAAAGATGGAACACATGGTACTAGTGAACTCTTCCCACCACTGAGCAAGGTCCTGGGGGCTATTGTATTAGTATCCCTCAGCCCACCCTTAACCCAATTTTGGCTGCAGTGGATGCAATTAGGCAAAGAGACCTACTAATGCAAGAGAAAAGGATTGTAGTGGTAGCTCATAACTAGGTATTTCAGTTGATGATAGTGTGTGACACAAAGGAAAACATGGTAGTGTCATTGTGAAATCACCTAACAGACCAGGTTCCTACCAAGCAAGTTGGTCCCAGTATTTGACCTCCTGTATTCCTACTCCCATTTCCTGTCCCCCATCCTGAGTCAATACCCATAAGGTCCCCTACCCATGCATCCCCATGTGTAATCCTCTGAGGACTGCTCTTTGCTTATGAATGTCTTTGAACTATAAATTTCCTCCACAGAACACATTCCTCTGGTGAAGCTTCTCTGCATGGTGTCCTCTCACTGGGAATATCCCAAACCTACCTCCAAGTACATTCTGCCCATTGTTCTATTTCTTCTGAATGCCTTCTGCTCCAGGGGCCTTTCCAGGGCCCTTTACTTTCAAATTCCTCTGAACTTTCATAGTGAGTTCTGTCCTTACCACACTGCTAATGAGGCTCATCCCATGAGTGCCTTTACCAAGGCATGCTTTGCTTAATTGATCTTGCTAAATGGGTATTGATTTTATTCCTTTCAAATGAAAACATTTACTCTTTTGTATTGTTTCATTGGTTTTTCTATCATTTTATACTATTTCATTAATATCTGCTCAAATATTTATTACTTTGTCCCTTCTGCTTACTTTGGATTTAGTTTGCTTGTCTTTTTTTCTTTTTTTTCCTTCTGCTCTCCTCAGTGTCTTGAAGGTGATAGTTTGTTCTTTTTCTAGTTCCTTAAGGGGTAAAATTAGGTTTTTGACTTCAGATCATTTTTAATATATGCATTCATAACTATTAACTTTTTCCTCATCACTGCATTAGCTACATGTTATGTTTTCATTGATCTGAAAAGATTTTCTAATTTCCCTTGTGACTTCTTTGTTTATTTAGGAGTGTGTAAACAACACACTTGTTACAGAAATTAAAGAAAGTAATTCTCAAACTTACTTTCTGTTACTGATTTTTAACTTTATTACATGCTGGTTGGGGTACATATTTTGCATGACTTCATTCCCTTTTAATTTTTGGAGACTTGTTTTCTGGCACTGTGCTTAGCTTTGAATGCGTGTTTCATGGGGTTCTTCTTGAGCGGCTGCCTTAGGTCCCTGCCCTGATCACTGTCCACCCTGCCCTCTGCCCTTGCAGGCTATTTGTATGTTGCATTCTCCTTGACAACTGCCTCTCTCTCTCTACCTGCTCCACCTGGTTCATCACCTCCAAAGCCCACTGTACACTGTGCTCTGCATAAATGCTCTCTTTCAATGAATCTTCTCAGACCAACTTCTGCTTTACAAGCCATCCAGTTTGTGTTGGTTTGGTATGACATGCTGCTGCCAAGTCAACTCCTTGTCTGTCCATTAGTGCTTTCTTTTGGACTAACACCTTGATGTATCACTTGGTCACTTAATCTCTAAACAAGCATTTATTGACCATCTGTTTTCTACCAGTGTGCTAGATGGATATTCCCTCCCAATATTGCAGATCCAATTTAAACCCTTGTGATGGTTATAACATACCATGGTGATAAGTGCTCTGAGGAAAGCATACAGGGTGGGTAAAATGCTATAATGTAGTAAACTCTTCTGGGCCAAATGGCCAGCTTTTCCTAAGGAGATGATATAAAACTTAAGTAGGAGTTTGCTATACACAAGAAGGCTATCTTCCAGCCTCTCTTTTTGTATGGTGTTCTACAGTCATCTCCATCCCCAAGGCATTTAATTCTTTCTGCATCATGTCAGGTCTTGCATGGGGCACAGGGATATGAGGGATCAAAAGAGGCACAAACTATTAACTTACAGAATGGTGATTTCATGGGGAGAAAGACAAGGCAAAAAATCCTATTTCAGTAGTAACTGCTAAAGGAGCATAAGGAAAAGCTGGGTAACCTGGATTTTGTAGTTAAGGATAGTGTCCTTGGGGAGGGGACATCTGAGTTGAAGTTTCTTATTTATCCATGTAATAATTTAAATATTTTCTGAGCACTCACTGTGGGCCACACACTAAACTACACCCTTACAGAATGATGTGTGGCATGGTGAGAGTGGAGCCAAAGCTGAGTGGAGACCCCAGAAAGTTAGAGATGCAAGAAACATGGAACACTTGCCAGGGAAGCTATAAGCAGCATGCAAAACCACCTCAAGAGAGTGGCCAGGTGGGACACCAGTACTTTTAGAAATCAATTTGCCAGGGGAGCCCTGGAATCATTGAAGAGTTCTGTGATCATTCTTCTCTGTAGGCCCGACCTTGCCCTGGGAATCACAGCTATTCAGCTCTGGCAATCCTGAATGCAACAGCAGAAGCAAAGTAGCAAACAGAATGGTCTAACTTACTCTGACCTACATATTTTATGGGCTGATCATGGTTTTCATGGGCATGCAATAGATAGGAAACCTATTAAATTCTTAACTTGATCTATATAAGCAGCAAAGTTCTAGACCAAGGAAACAAAATCTGACTTAAATGACAAAAACAGTTGTAGCAATCAACCGATTCTCAGATTTGAGACAATTTATAGACTCAAAATCCCACATCCCACATCTGGTTGAGGAATGCCCTCAGTTTGCTAACAATTTTTATTGTTAATCTTTCTCCTGGCCTTCTGCAAAGTGACCTACAGCCTTTTACCAGAGAAACTGTGCTTTGGGGAAAAGGAAAAATCAGACATTTCACAGAGTGACTATGAATTGTTGCTGATTCTAAGAGAAACAAAATGTCACTGTGGCCCACCAGTCAGAGTAGGGGTTTACAGAAATCAGGTGATTAATGGAGTTTTAACTCAGACCTGACTCATAGGGAGTCCTGAACCTACCTTGTGGTTATTTCCTCAATTCCAGAATGTATAAGTGGAGTAGAAATGCTTAGCAGCTGGAAGAATTCCCAATCAATAATACCCTTGTGTGGAGTGGGAGCTATTGTGGTGGAAAAGGCCAAATGGAAGGCCAAATGTTAGAGGTACCTACACCTAGAAAAATAGCAAATCAAAAGTAATACAGCATTTCTATAGGGATTGCAAAGATCTGTGCCACCATCAGGACTTGAAAGATGCACAGGTGGGGATCCCCACCTCACCCCTGTGTAACTCTCAAACTTGGCATGTGCCGAAGACAGATGGATCTTAAGAGAATGACAGTGGATAATTGTAAGCTTAACTAGGTGGTGACTCCAGTTGCAGCTGCTGTATCAGATGTGGCTTCAGTGTTTGAGCAAATTAACATATGTCCTGGTACCTGGTATGCATCTATTGATCTGGCAAATGCTTTTTTCTCTATACCTGTCAATAAGCCCCACCCAAAGCAGTTTTCTTTCATCTGTCAAAGCCAGGAATATACCCTCGCTGTCATATTCTAGAGGTATATGAATTCTCCAGGCCCATGTCATAATTTAGTTCCAGGAATCCTAATCACCTTTCCCTTCCATGAGGTATCATACTGGCCATTGCATTGATGACATTATGCTAATTGGATGACTCAAGTGTGAAGTAGCAACTACTCTGAACTTACTGTTAAGACATTTGCAGGTCATGGAGTGGGAAATAAATCTGACAGATTCAGGGGCCTTCTACCTCAGTTAAAGTTGCAGAGGCCCAAAATAGTATGTGGCATGTTGAGATAGCTCTTCTAAGGCAAAGACTGAATTGTTGCTTCTGGCTCCTTCTACAACCAAGAAAGAGGAGACTCTGCAACAGATCCAAGCTGCTGTTTAGGCTGCTTTTACCCTTAGTCCATAGGATCCTGCATACCTAGTGGTGCTTCAAATGTCGGTGGCAGATAGAGCTGCACTTTGAAGCCTTTGGCAGGCCCCATAGGTGAAATGGCACCGGCCTTTAAGGGTTTTAGAGCATTGCTTTGCTATCATCATTATCTACCCTTCTTTTCAGAGACAAGCTTTGGCCTACTAGTGGGCCTTAGTAGAAACTGAACTCTTTT